TCAAGGACACAAAACCAAGGAGAATATGACTTCATTATGTTTAAGAAACCAGAGGTTTGGGCATAAATTATTAAGCTTACAAAAGCCAACTTTTGAGGCCAGCAATTTCATAGGGAAATGCAATATATCAATGCAAAAACCACAAATTGAGATTACAGCTGCTTCTGTAACTGAACAAACAAAGCTCCTGCAAGTAACTGGGAAAGAAAGGCAGGACAGAAGCGAAGGTGGTCCTAAAAAACCCTCACGCTTCTCTGTGAAAGGAGAGAAGTTGACAGAGGGGCAGCTCCAGACTTGCAGCCACACCAGCTCACCTGTGGATGTTGGGAATACTCGCCATATTCATAATACCATAGTTCATCATCACCAGGACAAAAAGATGAATGGAATACCTTGAAGACAACAAAGTGAGTGTTTAGATAATTTCCACGTGACCTGGAAGGGCTGGCAGTTCAGAGTGAGGGAATATTTTTCCATGCAAATGACATAAATGCGATGTCATATCAGGGTATCAGTAAACATGGATTATCACAGTGACATCTTTACACCCTGAATATCCTACACAGATTAATACTTATTGACAAGATACTGTCAACGTGTTTCATTCAGAGAAAGAGCAGCCTAGCTCAAAGTGCACATTCAAACTAGACAACTAGACACATTTTTCCAAAAGAGGTATCTTCACAGCAGACTGGTGTGGCTTTAACTTCCAGAATAAACATCACAGATTAAATACTTCACTTGTAAATACTTGCATTGGCTCATTTTACTTTGAGAGTTTGGGATGGTTATGCTGGTTAGGAATTCTTTTTTTTTTTTTTTTCTGGATAACACAGAAAGTGCCTTAAGACTAAAAAAGATGTAATCCAGAAAAGCTGGTATGAAGTTTAAAAATATTTTAACCCAAGCCTTGTCTACATGGTGACTAAATACTCACCACCCAAAGCAGAAGACAGCAAAGTATATTCCAAAGAGGGTGGCAAATGCATGGCGAACAGCAGAGCTGGCATGACTGGGGCCCAAGTAAATACGAAACCAAAACGCAGCCAAAAGTGCAAACAGTTGACAGGCTACAAAATTGATCTGTAAAAGACAAACAAAACAAAAAATGGTTGTGATTCTTGGAGGAGAGGGGATGGAGTCTCTCCATTCGCAGAACAATAAAGCCAGGAAAAGGAAGGGGGGGAAGTGAGAGCAATGAATCTTTTCTTTCTTAGTATTCTCACTTGTGAACCCAAGCAGTAACTTTCCTTGGCCAGCGACAGAAGGGATTAAAGAAGTATCTAGCCACCCTAAAATTCAGACAGGAGGAAGAGAGGGCTCCAGCTACCCGAGGTACGGGCGGACTCTCCGCAGGGCAGGGCTCTGCTCCACCGCCAGCAGCCCTGGCTCACCAGCCCAGTCCAGGTGCAGGGGACATCACCCCCCATCTCCATCCTCCTGGTGGGAGGTAGAGGCCAAGAAGCAGACTGGGACTCTGAAGCATTGGCCCGGTGCCTGATTTTCTCCACAAACCCCAAAACAAGGGCAAAATCAACAATCCTGATGTGACACTGTCGCACAAACAATAACTGGACAGGCACCTTACTTAGTTGAAATCCTCTACTCCACGGCATCCTCCAAGCAGGCCTTGCATCTTACCAATTTTTTGCAGTTCAAGATTGCAAAGAAAACAACTTTGCTCTACCATCACACAGACAGCTAAAGGAAAACTCTCCTCAATTGTTCTTTGGCTGCTGCATGTCTCTGTAGAGCATGGGAAGGGGTCTGGCCCCATTTTAGGGGGGTAGCAATGGCAGCATGAGCACAAGACAGGTATATGCAGAGGGGAAGTAGTCCATGACTAGAGGCTACTCCTATCAGACACAAGGACAAGCAAAAGCTTCAGCATCCTCAGAGCAAAACTGACACCAAGCTGCTTTCTTCAAGTCACCTTCTCTTTAAGAGCCTCAGCAAAAATCCCGGAAGTCAGAGGAACAACAGAGCCCAGGAGCTGTCTCTAACAGACCAATACAGCATTAGGATATGACATTCATAAGTCCAGCCTGGACCCTAGACAGCTGGAGTTAAATTAATTTATTCAGCTGCAATCCTTTTTTTATTAAAAAAAAAAAAAAAAAAATTTCACCCTGAGCTCTCCAGCAGCAAGTCATCCTAGACTGAGCAAAACTAAATAGGATGCAACATTTAAGCAATCACTTGGATTAGAGGATTATCCAAAGCTATCAGTCCAGGACAGGATGATATATCTCACTCGGAAATGCTCTGACATGCTGGCTGTCCAGAGGCGGTTGGATTCAACCAGGCTTCTTGTCAAAAACATTTATAATGTGTCTAACATGACACTACAGCCCCAAATAGCTTTTATTCTGGTGAACTAGATCCAACATGGTGCTGTTCAATCAAATGCTTTTATTAAAGGTTTGTTGGCTATACTGCTGTAGTTCCTTTATTTCAGTGGTGCAGGGAGCCATGCAGTAGAATAATGCAATAATTTAAATACTTAGATATGCTGAATTTTAGTTCTTTGGAGCAGAGACAATATCTATTTATTTCTTGTTCATGTAAGCAACCAGCATTTACAACAGATGATATCACAGAACTATACCCAAAAGTAATTAGCAATGTCTTATTATGACAATACTTTACGCTTTATTTAAATAAGACAATTCTTATTTTCCATCCAAGATTTAAAAAGTGAGAGAGAAAAATTGCACCAGTCTCACAAAACACAGATGCTGTAGTAGCAAATCCCAAACTCTCATCTGGTCTATTACAATACAGTTACACTCAGAACACTAACTCCTCCTTCTCCTTCCACAGCCAGAGGTATCACAGAAACGGCTGAAGAGAGGACATCCCCTACAGAGCTGCTCTGATCCCGTCCTTTCCAAGCAAGCTTCCAAGATGCCAGTTCATCAATGACAGTTCAGTGAACCTTAATCCCATCCCAGCCTGCTCCCACTTTGGGTCACACCAGTACATCCAGTGGAGCTCAACTTCATGGCATGCAGAGCCCCTCTGATTCAGCAGAAAGAAGGAAAGCATAGAGATGCCAAGAAACCTGATGTGGCCGATTGTTTAAAAGACAATACCCCCTTCTGTGCAGCGTCACTCAGGGAAGCTTTACACCAGTAAAAACCATCAAGATAGGCAAGTGTTTGCTTTTTACTCTCACCCCATTCTTCTGTGTTCAGTCTGAGATGTTAAAAATGCTGTGACTCCAGAGGTTCGCACGCACAGCGAAAGGAAAGTGCAAGATCCCATGGCAGACATGCTCGCATTTACAAAGCTAAGGCAGGTAACCACAGCAGCAGGCAAGCAGCAGAGACTTCATCACAAGCTAACATACAGTATATGACAGCACAGCAGCCTTGCATACATAGCTGTTGCTCACCTATACTATCAATTCACCTGAGCATGTTACCTGTGCCACTTGGATTAAAAGTTAGCATGGGTACACCAACCACGCCACTAGCACATCTTTGGGTTTTGTTGTGCACGTTAACCAAGACAATTTCTTCTCTGTGCTGCTTTTGCAGGAGCTGAGGTAAATCTTTGTATCAAGATAAAAGCAAAATACACACTAACCTTACGTTTCAATTGGATTTCAATTTATAAGGGTTGTCTCTGTAGAGCAGCCAAATGCCACAGATCTGATGTCCTCAAAAAGCAATAATCTCAGAACACCAGGTTTTCATTTACCCTTTCTGTACTGAATTAAGCTAGAAAGTACCTTGCAGAGGAATGGCTACCACACACCATTAAAAGTTACAGATGTGATTCAAAAAACAAAAGATTAACCTTACTTTTCAAGATCCATAAACGGCAGTGATGGTGCTGAAGAGGCACATACACACGTCAGGATTCCCGAGTGTCATTTGAACATTATATGACCTACCACAACAGCGTAAGGGAAGCGAGCAGGCTGCACCCAATGCATTGCTTGGGAGATCAACTCCCAGATAAAAAACAACCAAAAAACCCACAGTCTGAAATGCAGAAAGAGAAGATTTTCGCTCACAGGCTGAGAACATTCATGCATTTGCCTTCGCCCTCCCTGCCGAACTGCAACCACCATAGCTCTTTGGCAGCTTTCCAGGTTCCTTTCCCCCATGGCCAAGTTTTTCTGACAGACAGCACTGCCCCTAAACACAACATGCTGTGTTTGCTTTTGTCTACCATTAAGGCTTTCAAAGTTTTTTGTGTGTATTTACAGTAACGCATACACCATTACAAACAACACAACTGGTTTTAAAGGATTAATCAGCAGAGGGGTTGGGAGAGGGATACCAATGAACAAGAAAGCCAGGTAAAGACAACAATTCCTGATAAAACCTTTCTGTCATCCATGAGGTATTTGGTACCTGTTGGACAAAACCATTGTGGTGTAGTACTGGAGAATACTTCTTGTATCTGCCCATCTATAAACCTGCACTTGGAATCTGAATGCACCAAGATGACCTCTGATTTCTGTGGGGTTCAGTCTGAAGATCAAACTCAGCTGTGCAAAGCTCACTGCAAGGTCTAGCACGTAGTTTACTGCAAGACTGACTTTTAGAGACGCTATGCAATTGCTGAGTACTTCTGCACAACAATCCATTCTGAGTCTACCTGAGCCAAACTGAAAGTGTGGACAAACCAGGCCAAATCTTTTCTTAACTACAACCTGTCACAAAGAGAAGGAGCGAAGTTGTTTGCTTCTTGGGTTCGGGGAACACAAGACAAATGTCAAGACAGCAGTAAAACTGGGGAGCTCCTTTCCAAGAGCAGAAAAATTTGTTCTGCCTGAACTGCAGGCTGAACTCCGTATTTGAAACTGAGCGCTAACTTGGTACCAGACCAGATCCGGTCTGTTCTCCACAGAGTAATAGAGAGATATGATAGCTTCCCATATGACTACCACCTGTATTTAGTTATTTAGATGTAACATTTTAAACACATGCAGCATTCACATGCATACACACGAAGACAGTTCATCTGACAGTGAGTTTACTGCATTCCATTTAACATGAATTTTATCCTTCACTTTACATATTTAAGGTACCTAAGTAAACAGATCCTTAAGATTTTAAAAAATTTTGCACTGCATCACAAGCGAAGTAACAGTCACACTTTCCTCCCTTTCCCTTCCCAAAGAGGAAAGGGTTCATATTATTCCCTTTTGGTTATTTCCACTGTTGCTAAAAACATTTTGTAAACAGTAAATTGAGGGCTTCTGAACATTGATGAATGGTGTCCACATAAAAATAACATGGAAATAGAAAATAGATTGTACGAGAATTAACCCTTCTCATTCCAACCCACCATTGTAAGTCATTTAACCCATGTTTTTAGCTAGTCACATCTATTCAGTGTTGCCATCAATTTTTTTTTCACATCTGGTTTCAACTTTGGTAGCAGAAAAGAAACACCTTTGCTTTTTACAGTCATTTTCTTCCATGCTCGAGCAAGTAAGCTGTAATAAAATCAGGAATCAGAGCACATGGTATGTTGCCAAAACAAGATACCATCTTCTTTCATTTTCCATGATTAAACACTGGAAGACAGAAAGGCAGTCTCATCACAGTATTCTGCACCGACATCTGGAAGACTTGTATCTGAGTCACAGCCAGCTGACGGCAGCCTTGCAATGCAGAAACAAGATATCTGCACTTTTGGAGAGAGAGAGAAAATCTGGAACTGCTCCAGCCCAACTGGGCTGATGGTTATTGTTGTCTGGTTAAGGAATTCTTTAATATCTAATAGTCTCAACTTTAAAAGGCCAGATGGATCCAGAGCATGTAAACATCTGATATGAACAACGAGAAAAAAATAAACCGTAGTTCCTCCCTTTACCCATTCAAATTCTGTAGTAGCAAATAACTCAAAGTGATGTTTCGACTGCAAAACTGAGTTTTATACAAAGCTAGTGATCAGGTCCAACCAACTGACCAAGCACCTATGATGTTGACACAAGAATAACCAAACATCATGGTTTCAAGATCCCCTATACTATTATGCTAAAATCAAAGCCCT